ACTCACTGAAGACAATGGTGTACGGTGGCGCAATATCGTGGATTGGTTAAAGCTTGATATTAACACCGATATGTGCCAGCCGCCTCAATGTTCTAGTTGGTTAAGTGCGTGGCGCGAGACTGTTAGCTCCTGGGTTCGAGCCTCGCGGGGTGAAGGATCGTGAATGCGCACTGCTGAGGAGTCTCACAATAGGACGGAACGGCCGTCCAGTGCTTCCAGGTTTTCCATGGTGGTCTAGCTTCGATTGATTGATGACTTCAATTATTGAAATTACTGAAATCTCCACAAAACCCCTTCTGATAATATGTATATATACGGTTATATCTAGGATTTGAACTGAGTACAGCGTACTGCGTATATCTGCTTTAATCTGGTGAACTCTGTCCTGTACGCTTATGACCTGAAAGTGGTCTACTCATACTACAGAGACAAAGTATAGAGCACTACTGATTTTATTCAAAAAGAATGAGACGATGTGCTAGTATGGTGTAAAAAGTAACGACTTCAGTTTTACAATACAAATATAGCTGGATTAGTATCGAATGAAACAAACTGGGATTTTATTTTCAAGTGGATCATATGGCGATAACGAAAACTGATACTATCTTAGACCTTGACTCAAAATACTCGAATGACCTAAATTTTCAGATAGAAGCCACGTAAACATATAGGTTATATGTTTCGTTATTTCTGTGAGAGAGTCTAGACTAGTCTCGTATAAAGTCATTGTCCTCGCAGTGCTTGAATATTGTCCATTTATATGAAGGCTACTGAGTGTAAACAACAAGTTGAAAATCGAAGGAATTATCGAGAAACTCAAGAAGTACAACAATGATAGTTCCTATATTCTCCCCCCCTCCATTCATGTGTATTTCAAGACGACTGTTGGTTAATACTTATCCAATCAACGCTAGTCGATACTTGGAGAACATTCTAGAATCTCCGCAATGTAAAAACTATAAATATACACAAACGTTTTTCCTATTGTGCTTCTTCTTCTTACTTCCATCTAACCTTGTTATTTGGAATATAATCGGTTTTCCTGTTCAACCATGTTCTGATTTGTGGACTTGTCAAGTGAATCAGTGTCCAAGAATACTAAGTAGTATGAATAGTCGAGTTGTAATAAGGGAGAATTATAACATTTACTATCATCAAACACATAATATTGAACAAAGTTCTTCGTTGATAGCAATAATGAAAATATAATAATAGGGCTAACTATGAAATAAGTTGGGACCTAATTGTTGGTGAAGATTATTGTATGTAATGTGAACAAATGAAGGGATTTTGTATGTATCTAAGATGAACTGTAACATTGTAATACGTATTGTGGTGTATGCTATTTATGTTGGCATAACCAGTAGATGATGTTAGTCGTGAACAGAAGGTCTGGCATCAGCAGATAGACAATGGGATCGAACAGTAAAGAATGGAAACAGGATGCAACTTGTATGAAAATGTAAGAACAATGAAGTCCGAGTTATTTTGAGACAATCGATGGACATTTCGCAAGTGACATATTTACTATTTGATTGTTAGATTTAATTAACAAGTCCTGTAATTTTATGTTAAATTCGACTGTCCCCATTGGGGTTCTTCTTCACTATAGTATTGCCTGTAGTATACTCGGTAAATGATGATCCATATTCCTTAAACATATCACTGATATTTTATATAGTCGAATATATGTTCGTATCGATTTTTTGTGTTCGATATTCAGTAGTAGTAGTAGTAGTAGTAGTAGTAGTAGTAGTAGTAGTAGTAGTAGTAGTAGTAGTAGTAGTAGTAGTAGTAGTAGTAGTAGTAGTAGTAGTAGTAGTAGAGTAGTAGTAGTAGTAGTAGTAGTAGTAGTAGTAGTAGTAGTAGTAGTAGTAGTAGTAGTAGTAGTAGTAGTAGTAGTAGTAGTAGTAGTAGTAGTAGTAGTAGTAGTAGTAGTAGTTAGTAGTAGTAGTAGTAGTAGTAGTAGTAGTAGTAGTAGTAGTAGTAGTAGTAGTAGTAGTAGTAGTAGTAGTAGTAGTAGTAGTATAGTAGTAGTAGTAGTAGTAGTAGTAGTAGTAGTAGTAGTAGTAGTAGTAGTAGTAGTAGTAGTAGTAGTAGTAGTAGTAGTAGTAGTAGTAGTAGTAGTAGTAGTAGTAGTAGTAGTAGTAGTAGTAGTAGGAGTAGTAGTAGTAGTAGTAGTAGTAGTAGTAGTAGTAGTAGTAGTAGTAGTAGTAGTAGTAGTAGTAGTAGTAGTAGTAGTAGTAGTAGTAGTAGTAGTAGTATAGTAGTAGTAGTAGTAGTAGTAGTAGTAGTAGTAGTAGTAGTAGTAGTAGTAGTAGTAGTAGTAGTAGTAGTAGTAGTAGTAGTAGTAGTAGTAGTAGTAGTATAGTAGTAGTAGTAGTAGTAGTAGTAGTAGTAGTAGTAGTAGTAGTAGTAGTAGTAGTAGTAGTAGTAGTAGTAGTAGTAGTAGTAGTAGTAGTAGTAGTAGTAGTAGTAGTAGTAGTAGTAGTAGTAGTAGTAGTAGTAGTAGTAGTAGTAGTAGTAGTAGTAGTAGTAGTAGTAGTAGTAGTAGTAGTAGTAGTAGTAGTAGTAGTAGTAGTAGTATAGTAGTAGTAGTAGTAGTAGTAGTAGTAGTAGTAGTAGTAGTAGTAGTAGTAGTAGTAGTAGTAGTAGTAGTAGTAGTAGTAGTAGTAGTAGTAGTAGTAGTAGTAGTAGGAGTAGTAGTAGTAGTAGTAGTAGTAGTAGTAGTAGTAGTAGTAGTAGTAGTAGTAGTAGTAGTAGTAGTAGTAGTAGTATAGTAGTAGTAGTAGTAGTAGTAGTAGTAGTAGTAGTAGTAGTAGTAGTAGTAGTAGTAGTAGTAGTAGTAGTATAGTAGTAGTAGTAGTAGTAGTAGTAGTAGTAGTAGTAGTAGTAGTAGTAGTAGTAGTAGAGTAGTAGTAGTAGTAGTAGTAGTAGTAGTAGTAGTAGTAGTAGTAGTAGTAGTAGTAGTAGTATAGTAGTAGTAGTAGTAGTAGTAGTAGAGTAGTAGTAGTAGTAGTAGTAGTAGTAGTAGTAGTAGTAGTAGTAGTAGTAGTAGTAGTAGTAGTAGTAGTAGGAGTAGTAGTAGGAGTAGTAGTAGTAGAAGTAGTAGTAGTAGAGTAGTAGTAGTAGTATAAGTAGTAATAGTAGAAGTAGTAGCAGTGGTAGTAGTAGTAGTAGTAGTAGTATTATTAATAGTACTAGTAATAGTAGTAGTAGTAGTAGTAGTATAGTAGTAGTAGTAGTAGTAGTAGTAGTAGTAGTAGTAGTAGTAGTATAGTAGTAGTAGTAGTAGTAGTAGTAGTAGTAGTAGTACAGTGAAATCTTTAAAGTACCCACAATTGCCTACCAGGGGTTTTCATTGACGATGTAATCATAGCAGTAATCATGATTATCTTTACATGAAGGTTTTTCATTTCATTTCATTCTTATAAATGGTAATGTCAGTCAGATATCACACCTTATTCACTTTAATATAATATAATCATCTATTCATTTTATTATTCCCTTATTTCATTTAAACAAACTTCACATACACTTTTATCATTTGGTTGTGATTATTATTATTACCATTATTAATATTAGTATTCATCATGAAAAAGGGTGATTTCAAGTACAGTTGAACAACAGAGAATCCCGTGAGCGCGATCTAAGATACGCACTGCTGAGGAGTCCCACAACAAGAAGAAATGGCCGTCCAGCACTATTAGGTTCCCAATAGTGGTCTAACATCAATCGGTTTATGATCTCAATCAAAAAACTTAATAATCTCTACAACCCTATAATGATAATTACAAGATAGATTTTCTATCCTAGTGTGAGACATGTTATTAATATATACCCATGAAATCATCTATTATAGAATGACTGACCTTTCAGTATCGCGACTAATCTATTTCTGCTCATAGAATTTTCTTTTAAACAATAATAAATGATCAGTGGGTGGTTTTGTGGAGAATGTAGAATTGTCATAGACTTTATGTCACAAATTGATCTTGGGTAAAACCAGTTGATGATGTAATCTACGATAGCAGTTGCAATTGAATAATACTGATGAACCGTAAACAACTTTTATACTTTGTCAGCTAAAACCATACAATGGGTCATTGAATGGCCTTGATAACAAGTACAGAACTCCATCATAATTACTATAATTTCATACTTACTTACTTACTTACTTACGCCTGTTACTCCTCGTGAAGGAGCATAGGCCGCTCACCAGCATTCTCCATCCAACCCTGTCCTGGGCAACCCTTTCCAGCTCCTTCCAGTTGTTATTCATCTTTTTCATATCTGCTTCTATTATCCGACGTAATGTGTTCTTAGGTCTTCCTCTTTCCTGTTTCCCTTCAGGATTCCAAGTTAGGGCTTGTCTCGTGATGCAGTTTGACGATTTGCGTAATCTATGTCCTATCCATTTCCATCATCTTTTCCTAATTTCTTCTTCAGCTGTAGGCTGATTTTTTTCTCTCCCACAAAAGGCCGTTGCTGATGGTATCCGGCCAATGGATGTTGAGTATCTTGCGAAGGCAGCTATTTATAAATACTTGTACCTTCTTGATAGTGGTTGTTGTAGTTCTCCAAGTTTCAGCTCCATACAATAGAACTGCCTTGACGTTGGTATTGAAGATTTTCATACATGGATGACAGAAAACAAGAAAACCTTCTGTCAAACTACCACACTACTAATGGACAATCAGTAGTATGAAATTTTGAGAGAATATTTTACTCAACGAAATCAATTCATGATTGGTATCATTTATTATTGATTTAGATGTTTGTCTTTTAATTTTTTAGTGGAGCCCTTTATTTTGTCCTCAGTTAGATCGGAAGATGTATTTCGACGGGCTCTCCACTTCAGTGGCCCAGGATCTGACTCCAAGGTGATCGTAATGAATGATTGTTATTGGAATATATCTATGTTGCCTAATCTCGTATATAATCATCGACTTAAATCGCGTTAATCAATAACGGAATTAAATGATTCAGATAACGAGAATGGACTTTTGAATACACATATTTTTTATATAAAGCGAATGGAACAGAACGAAGAGAAAAGACGCAGAATGGAGATGGCTAGGAAGCCAACTCCCCTTTTAACCAAGAGTTAATCAATATGTATAATCACACAAAAATAAGTTACAGACATATGATGAATAGGATAAGAAATTTACACACAGATATGCGCTCATATAAAAACAGTCAAGATTGGTAAGCGAATAGTTAACACGGTAAAAATATGACTCAAGTACAATGAGTAGATTGGCCTGTCCGAAAGCCAGAATAAGGAATATGGGAGCCTGACATGTCAAGCGACACTACAATGTTATCTTTAAATCTGTATAAAACTTTATTATACAAACACGAAAATGTCTATTCATACAAGAATAAATGATTGGATTCAATGCAGAATTAATGAAATACATGTAAAATAGTATACGTCTTACTTGAATAGTCCAATGTGGTTTATCTTTTAAAAGAACTACTTGTCTTTTTTGTATTGGCATTGTTGTATAAACAAGATATGGTGTATAAGATATAATGAAATTTGCTGCAACTAATGCTAATGTTTGAGCTGTACGAACATGTGGTTTACGTCTACGTTCTAGATTAGCTGCTGACAATTCAATTCTTGATAATTGAGGATTATTTATTTCTATAGTACACTGGGTTTTCTTATTGCCAGGTAGCTTTAAACAATGTGACTCTTCATTATCTTTATCAGTATTATTGTCATTGAATAGTTTATCTTTAGGAATTGAACACTGACTAGTTTTAATCAATCCATTGTTATTATCTCTTTCACATAAACACACACAACTTATTCTGTCTAAATTAGATGTGACAAAACTTGTCGATGTTGTCATATCTGTTAGAGGTTGATGAATTCTCAAAGTTTGTTGTTTTAGATATGGTTGAGGTAATGATAAACTAGACAAGTGTTCAAAGCAACTCTGTCCATATTGTTGACGGTCCTGAAGTTCCAATTGTTGTCTTTCTTCATGTTCAAAGACACTAGAATTTTGTTTATCTTCTTGTTCATGTTGTAAATCATTTGATTCTTTTAACTTTTTACGAAATGATATTCGTTTTTTAATTGAATTCCATTTGGATTCATTTATATCACCTGAAGAATTTGGTGTAGCATGTATACGTACCCAATTGCCTTTCATTTTTGGATTACCATATTTCTCATACATAAATGATTCATGCCTCCAGACAAATAGAAAGATCAGTGCATATACACCAGCTGTTCCAAGAAATAATACTAAAAATAACAGGAGTACACAAATTTGATGATACCAGTATAACTGATCATTAATGTATGTGTCATTTTTATCGCATCGTTTTGAAACACGTAATTGATCAAGCCATTCTTCATTTTCCATAGTGGATAATCCATATTTCAATGTATTTAAATCTAATAATTCATCACGTTCTTTAAATAAATCAATTGCACGAACATGTAATCCCATTGGTATAGCACATAATAAACCAAAGAACACATTACACTGAGAAATGGAGATAAACACGAGAACAATGAACAACCATTGGATAGAACTAGAAAGAAAGGCTCAGGACAGAGTGGGTTGCAAAATGCTGATTAGCAACCTATCCTCAATTGCGAAAAACAGGCGTAAGTAAGTAAGGATAAACTGATTTATTTGTTGTTTTTTACCTTTAATTTATTCTCCAGGATCCAGGTACAATAATGTTAGAAACTTTTGTATCATTTTTATTGTTATGGTAATAAATACTCTTCCTATATATGAATGTAACCATGTTTAAGTTTGCTGGTCTACCCTCAAAGCAATACATTTATTATAATGGATTAATAACACTTACAGAATAATGATGTGTGTATTATTCTCACTTTATGTTATTTGTCCATAAATCCATGTGGTATATAGATCGAATGCATATTGAATATTGAAAAACACTTTCTAGATATTTTTATTTATTGCAGCCTGTACTAGAAATACCCGAGTGTTTTTGTACCATATTTAACACTGTTTTGAATAAGATACCATCCTACTCGTCTTTTGTTTTCCACTTTATAACATAAAGGGTTCAAACGTTCGAGTGGTTGTGTTGTACGCAGTTCAAGTCCTAGATACAACGGTACATATACATATTATCAGAACGGGTTTTGTGGAGATTTCAGTAATTTCAATAATTGAAATCATCAACCAATTGAAGCTAGACCACCATGAAAAACCTGGAAGCAGTGGAAGGCCGTTTCGTCCTATTGTGGGACTCCTCAGCAGTGCGCATCCACGATATATATATATATATATGTCTAGCTTAAAGTTCATTTGAGAAATGTTAGTGGTTCAATTATTATCGTGAAGTGAGAACATATACACGTACATACATATTTTTTCAAGCCAAGCATTGTTTAATAGATATACATTACTTCTGAAGTATTTTCGTCTATACAGATCATAATAATATCCTCTGAATTTTAACAATTGAATCTGTGAATCATACTTAACTACACCACTATTAGAAACCTGGAAGTATTGAACGGCAGTCTTGTCCTAGTGTGAAACATTTCAGAAATGCTCATCTATGGATGCATACATGGAAACCGAACTCAGGAACTTGTATCTCATGAACCAACGCTATAATTCTAGGCCATTGAGCCGGTGGTATCCGATGGTGTCAATATCTAACTTCGATCGATTCAAGATTTTGCTCAACTTTTCATCTATTGTGTGAGATGGATAACTGTCTGACATCCTCGCATACGGATTAGACTCCATCGGTCACGGTTATGTACTAGAACTCTACAAAATTCTATGTTGAAACTAGTCACTAGTGAGCATATGATTACCATTATTAGTATGAAGGGTTACTCAAGATCACAGCCTGATATCTGACTCCAATTTGATCATTTCTGATTGCTTGTTATTGATAATATACATGTCGTCAATTCTTGCATATATAATCCTCAACAGTGTGCATCAATGATTGCACAATGAACGGACTGGAACACTTCATCTCTACTTCATTGAACTCCATTGCATCCAATGGTGTTCATGTTTAATTTCAATCGATCCTTGATCTTGAACAATCTTTCATGTATTGTTTGAGGTTGATAACTGTATTATACTGTACTCGGGTTTGACTTTATTGATTACGGCTTCTCATTAGATGTTTAGAAGATCTATGTTGAATCTAGTCACTAGTGAGTATATGATGATTATTACCCCACGAGACTCGAACCAAGGTGCTGTCAGTCTCGCGTCACGCGGTTACCCAACTAGAACATTGAGGCGGCTGGCACCCATCGGTGTTAATATCTAGCTTCAACCAATCCACGAAATTTCGCCACCGTACACCATTGTCTTCAGTGAGTTGATATCTATCTCACAACAGACCTAGTTGAACTCCACTGCTAACGGCAATAAATACATATCACATGCTTAATAATGTAATTTCGAAGAAAGTGTTTATTGCCCTATATGTGAATAGTTTTCAGAAGGGGCTGTCATCTATTAGGAAGCCGTTGAAACTTGAGTATCACTGGTTTTGTCCTCATTTTCTTATGAAAATCTAAGCACCAATCATAATGGATGAACAGATTACTCAATAATAATTCATCAAAGTCAATAAATCCAGCGAATCCAGTTCAAACCAATGGTTCGAATTGCTTACAAAAATATCTCAATACATGAAGACCACAAGTTCACTTTCACTTTTTGATTGATGGACGTGTTAGATAGTGTCAAACGAGCACAAACTAGGTAATGAATGTTCCATTTTCATTCTTTTTTATTTAAGCGCATCAAATAAATATGCGTCACATAAATCATTAGATTTATGTGAGTGCTGGGAAACTGCCTGAGTGCTCAAACCGAAGCAGGTGATTTTCTAAAGGGGCCACACACGGAGACTTCAGCTTAGATGTCTAATCCACAAAGCAATGCAGCGACGTCAGGAGATACAATCCCATGGTAGACAATGACCAACGATTGGTTCATATGGTATTTGTTCCTTCAGGATTATGGAGCCCATGTGCACGATTGGTTTGGAATTAGTGTTTTTTTAAATGCCCTAGATGGATCCTCCACGCTGAGGAGTTTCGTACTATGACGAAACGGCCATCCAGTCATTCTACGTTTTCTATGATGGTCCATATTTAATTGACTTGTGAATTCCACTATTGAATTATTATAATATACACAAAACCTCTCTCTCATTTTAATCATCATATGCCAACTAGTGACTGGCTTTAAGAAGTATTTCCTGGAGTTCTAGTGAGAAACAGTGAGCAGTGGAGTTCAACCGGGTCTGTTGTGAGATAGTAACTTAGTGTGGAACCACAATACATGTCAAACTCAATAACGAGAAAAGAATTAGTCATCTATATCATATTGCCTAGATATTGACCATTCATTCAGATAGGCCATATCATGTAAAGCAAGAGTTGATGGATCAAGATGAGATATGTTCGATTTAAACATTGAGATTTCCAGGATAAACTTAATCTTCATTAGTATAAATTCTAAACTTATAACTTATCATTCTGAAAATCTTCCGTTTTCATATTATTTAAACATTTCACCTTCAAACTTCACTATTCTCCTTTAAACTCTGTTTTGTTGAGCTTCTTTTCCAATGTGGGATAACAGATCTTGGATTTTGACGCGAAATTCATTCATCCATTTGGATAAATTGAGTTTTGACATTATAACGGATATCCGGTCGTGATGATAAGCCCATAAATCTATATCCTCACCTTATTCATCAACTACAAAATCATAATTCCATTTCGTCACACACTGGTTTATAATGCTCATTTGATCCTAGTTATTAGGTGGACACATTCAAGGTCACTTTAGTGTCGCTTAAATTATAGTTTCACCAATGTTTCATTCCTTTCCTGTTTAAGATGTGGATGAAGATGGTTTACTATGAACGATGTTGCCTTGAGATGATCTTGAATCATTGAATGATAGAATTTGAAAACTGTTACCAGTGAATGATATTTTCGAAATTAAGTGATAATATTTATGTCACTATGCCGAAACATCTTTATCTATGCGTTAAATGGTTTGCAAGCTGAAACTCCTGAGAGATCATGGGTCACGGTCAAAGAGCTATCTAGTGCCTTCCGATTTTCTGAAGTTCATCAGCTGATAGTTAGGAATAAGTGGTATCTTCAAATTATATATACGTCTACACACACACACACACACACACACCATTTACCTAAGTAAACACATAACACCGCGAAACCCACTTAATTATCAAATAAATGGTGCTTGGATCTTTAATCTTTATAATCTTAATTTTTCATTCTAAAAATTAGAAAACAGGCAATTTCGAGAGATTTATTAAATTATCTGATGACCTGGTGAGATCGAGAGTGAAGAGAGTCAGCTCTCCCTCCCAAAATGCTCTCACATGGTCATGCGTATATAGCCTCTGCCAGGGAAGTCCTACTCACTGCCTTCTCGTGGCCTTACGATGCTTCACTGCCTTGTGGATCAGACCTTCAGGTCGAAGGCTCGGTGAGTGGCCCCCTAAGATAACCACCTGCCTCGGTTTGGGCACACGGGCAGTATTACAGCCCTCACACATATCGAATGAGATTTGTGTGGCGCATATCTATTTGGTGCCTCCTTGTACCAATATCTATGTGTTAAAATAAATAAATAAATAAACCATCATCACAACGATGCTGCCTTCCCACAAGTAGGGATGGGGTTAGAAGTGAACCATCCTGAAAATGCACACCTCACCTTATCCCACGTATATTTATCTTCAGTGGAAAGTTCTCAACAAGTATGGAGCTAACGCGAAAAGTACTCACACAAAAGTCGTGTGTGACTGACTTCAAACAGTTCTTCCTTAGGCATTGAGGTCACGCTCTCAGGTCACTAAGACCACGCCTAATCCAATTTCTCTTTCAGGTACCTCCAGAAGAACGCTTCCACGGTGCGGGCAATTGTGAAGTGATAGCCGCTCTCATATCTATAACAGCACTCAAGACCACTATATTAAAAATGAAACTAATCATTCAGAACGTTATCATCATCCTTCAACTCTATTCACAAATGAATCATCAACAATATCATCTATACTAATGTTTTACTTATAAAATGAAAAATAAAATAAAATAAAACATAAACAGTACAGTACAGTACAGCACAGAATAGGATGAGATCTTATAAAAGAAATAAAAACACTAACCAATAGAAATTCAAGATGATAAACAATTAGAACAAGAAAAAAACAAAAAAATATAAAGGAGAATCATTGAAATAATCGATAACAATCTTGTAAAAAAAAGAAAAAAGGGAGAAAATGAGTGAGATAAACGATGACAACAACAACAAAGAAAGTGTGATTATACTTCAAATTAAATAATTGACCATTCGTTGTCATAGAAACAAACATGACAAGTAAAAAATCGATCAGAGAAGGATTTTTTTGTGTGTGGATATTATTAGTAAATTTACTAAGTGAATTGATAAGTCAATTGAAGTTAGACTATCATGAAAAACATGAAAGTAACAGATAGTTATTTCATCCTGTTGAGGAATACCATACTAGAATGAAATGACTATCTAGTACTTCCAGATGGTCTAGTTTCAATCAAGTCACCAATCCAACTACTAAACAATCTATCATTGAATTCATATGTCTTGACTCATTAATTAGATTACAAGTGATTCATATTGCATTGTGTGTATGTGTAACTATATATAGATTGTATAGAAGATGTGTGCAACCAATATAACTAACTCTTATCATTCTAGTATAGCACTACAAACGAGTTTTTTTCGAAAAAACGGCATTATTTAATGATACTACTTAAACTATTTAATAGTAGTATCATCGTGATAATAAAAAAAGAGAATGGACATGATGATAAACAGATGATGAATTTCAAATTAGTCTTGCTTTTCTTTTCAATGAAAGACTTCAAATCTGACCACAGAATGCTTAATAATAAATGAATGATGTAATTTGAAAAAAAGTGTTTTAGTTCTCCTTCATCAAAAAGAAGAGAAGAAAAATAATCTCGAATATGAAAAGCGGTTACATATGCATAGCAACAACAAAAATTATAGGGATTGATTAAGATCATCAATCAATTGATCAATTGATCACTATTGTAAGCCTGAAAGCACTGAATGACCAGTTCTTCGTCATCTGATCAGTCCAGAATGGCTATCCAATGCTTCCAGGATTTCAATAATGATCTAACATCAATTGATTCATGATCTTAATCAAAAACAAACAAAATGAGGCACTTTCAATCATAGTAATAATGATCAATTAATATTGTTTCAATGGAATGCGAGAACTTGAATAAGATCTTGTTGATATAGGTATTAATGAGCCATGTCTCAATTTACTATTTATAGAAATTAATGGATTAATTTGTTTAGAATGATTCGATTGATATAAATGATCATCTATTACATAATCATCTGGATGTCTTTTATTCTCTCCTGATGTATATACAATTTGTACTGGTTTATTGATTAATTGATGATTGACTTGTTTACATGATGATGAAGACGACGATGACGATGCTACTGCTGTTGCTGCAGCTGCTGACGCTGATGTAGACTTAGATGTAGATGATAATTTACGATTAAACATATTAGCTGATTTACTTCTATTTTGATTTTGTTGATTTCTACTCTGATGATGATGATGATGATTATCATGATGTAACGGTGATGATTTCAATTGTTGCATTGTAGATTTTCTTTCTGTTACATGATGACTTTTTATTGATTGTATTCGATGATTATGAGTAGTATAACTATTCCTAGTAAATTTATTATTATTACTTTTACTACTATTATTGTTAGTAGTAGTATCATTGATGATAGGCAAAACTAAAATCCTTTCAACTGGTCTTGAATTCTTTCTATCAATTGATTGTTTACAATTTATATTTAATGAATTTAATGATTTGGATAAATTTTGATTATTATGTAATCTATTCTCTATTGGGTTCTGATGTTGTATAGAATTACAATGTCTACTATTAATATAATAAGTAGTACTACTACTAGTTGTAGGAGTAGTAGTAGTAGCAGTAGTAGGAGTAGTAGTATTCGGTAAACATGGTCTATTTACAATATATGGTTTCATATTAGATTTATCTAATTCATTTCTTATGATAGTAATAGTTGATTTTTGTTTGAGTAGTTTATCAGTAGTATTGAATGGTTTTCTAATCAAACTATTCTGATCTGTTTTAGAATCATTATTACTATGCTTATTATTAATATTACTATTGCTAGTAGTAGTAGCAGTAGTAGTAGTGATGGTAGCAGTAGTATTAGTAGTAGTGGCATTAGTAGTAGTAATGCCATTACGTAATGACTGTATCTTATCAAAACTTTCATTTGACCATTCTTTTGTAAGATTATCATTGAAACTAGTTTCTTCAACATCTGTTGATGAATTGGTCGGATCTTTCATATATTGATCAGCGATAATAAATCGTGGAAAATGTGTAGAACAATTCAAGTCGCCATCATCAACATCATCATTATGATTATTCAATGAAGTTAAATTGAGTTCAGAGAAAAACTGTTAGAAAATAGAAAAGAGAGAAAATATGTGTAAGTTATTAAATCATTTATTATTTATCATTTAGTGAACCAATGAAAATCAAAGAAGATTAGAATTGATGTTTCGTTGAAATGTAAGACACTTCAAATATGTATACTGTTGTAGCGGTAAATAAATCCCCAATATCTGTAATCCTTCGACATTGGATGCCGACCACATTAGTTTTATTAAACTCACATAGTCGAAGACTCTTAGCCATGCATCCGCACCAGATCATGAGTGGGAACGTTGTGCTCGACATCCTCTGCAATCTCTAGCCAGTTTAAATCAGTCGATTCACGATATATTGATAGCCTATCAAATATATCTTCGAACCTCCTCGATTCTGACATTTGATTTTACTTGGTGGGTACGGTGCATAGTAGAAGGTGGTACTGGTTAAAGCGTTGTCAGACTCCAAACACCTATGGCATCGTCACTGTTATATCCTGATGAGAATAGTGGACGGTAACTGTTGAGATCTATCTGTGGATTGATAGTATATATATATGGTCCTATTGTATAACTGTTCAGCAACTACGTTATGTATATCTATATTCCTCTTATTTTACGCTTTATTTTGATCCATAGACTATAATGATATGATTTACGGTTTTTGAGTTATAACCAGTCTATTAATTACAGTCTCCCACATTCACAACCACATTTGGCGAGAACTATTTTATGCTAAAATGTGGTCTGTTTGGTTTGTATATAAACCTAATATGTTTGAAATATATGATTGGTATCACGGAGTCTGAGATTTGTGTCCTGGACATAATAGGCATGTCTAAGCAGGAAGGAGAACTGATAAGGATTCTAGACTGATCGTACGGGTCTACTGATCATTGGTCCGGTCTATAAGACATTGTTCTCTACTCTAATTGGTGGTATCATTACATTACATATATATATCGATAGGGCACAAAGCAACAAGTCATAACACACACTCACTATCGATAAAATTCACATTCAAAAGTTAACAGTCTATTAATACAAGGAATTAGAATTATGATTTACACTTGATGGTTAGGTTAGGGTTAAGAACTAGATTTACAGTTTTCATTATGAACTGACATCAGCTAAAATGCCGAAATGCTACTCACCCAAATGGATGAATCAATTTCGTATCAAAATATAAGACCTCTTATCCTAAATCTGATTGCTTCGTGTATAAACTATAGTCTTGACGAATATTCAATTCATTATTAAGTTTTAATCAACATATACTCACAAGTGACTGGTTTCAAGAGGTATTATCTGAAGTTCTAGTGAGAAGCCGTAACCAATGGAGTTGAATTGGGTCAGTTGTGAGATATTAACCTACTGAAAACAATATTGGATGTATCGCTCAATTTCATGGATTGGTTGAAATTAGACGTTGACACCGTTGGATACCGGTAGGTTCAGTAGTCTAGCGTTTAAGCGTTCGCGTATGAGAATCGATAAGCCGTGAGTTCAAATCTCCCGATGCGGTATCACAGATGTACACTACTGCTGGGGAGCCCCACAATACAATGAAACGGCTATCCAGATTTCTCATTATAGTCAAACTTCAATTAATTCATGATCTTAACTAGTAAAACTTAATCCATATTGGAAATATTTATCGAATACTTTTTATACTACTGACTTGCGACTTAGTAAGACATTTTGATTCTTCTAAAGATTTTTTTGAAAGAATTTGATTTTCATTCACATTTTTCATTGATTTCATTAATTCTGAATCAGTTTTATGATTCAGTTGTACTTTCCCATTAGAACTATCATTATCATCATCATCATGGTGATCATTATCTCTATGTGATTGTTTCTCCTTAGTTACAGATGATGTACGTTTTTTTACAACATTCAATTTACATTCTACCATGTTTTGAGTTTTATCTTCATTCAATTTGGAATTCTGATTCATTGAATTTAATTTACATGATCCTACTATAATCAAAGAAAGAAAGAAAGAAATTAGAAGAGATACGTTTTAGTGATGTGAAGTATTTCTTGGAATAAGATCATTAATTGTTGAATGTCAGATCTGAAAGTATTTGACAGTTAGTTGTTTTGTTCCAGTATGCGATTTCTTAACAGTGAGAATTGACGAGCTCGTGCATGGGATTCAGACTTAGAACTTTTGGTCATGCATGTGAACGTTCAACTTTAACACCACAGATCCGGTTTTAGTATCTCAGTCAGTCAGTCAGTCAGTCAGTCAGTCAGTCAGTCAGTCAGTCAGTCAGTCAGTCAGTCAGTCAGTCCAGTCAGTCAGTCAGTCAGTCAGTCAGTCAGTCAGTCAGTCAGTCAGTCAGTCAGTCAGTCAGTCAGTCAGTCAGTCAGTCAGTCAGTCAGTCAGTCAGTCAGTCAGTCAGTCAGTCAGTCAGTCAGTCAGTCAGTCAGTCAGTCAGCGACAACGTAGGCCAGGCACTTATACACATCGGTCCAAGTTCACATATCTCATTAGCACAACAAGATCAACACCAAATTCACAGAAGTAGTTACTTCAATGATAGTAATATATAAAAGAAAGAATTGTGAAGAAATATATAAGGTAATTTTCATCTCATAGTTCAAGGGAAGACAACGAGTGTATACACCGATGCCATTGTGATCGATTCTGAGCCATGTCACACATAGTCTCTAACCATTGGTAACGATAGTCACACGGACCCCAACCAAGTAGTCTGCATCTACCAATATGGCACTGATAAGAAGTTAGTGACTTCAGTGACTGATGCCAAGTTTTGATTTAGCCGCCTCTAACTTTCTTCCAACCAACTCCAACACTAGTCACAATTGCGCGTCCTAGTAGTTGGTGATTGGGCATACGTACCACGTGTTATTGTCTAACACCAAGCAATCCGAAATAGTGGATACACACTCTTCAACAGCCTCATACTAGAACAAAACAACCGTCCGGTGTTTCCACGTCTTCAATGGTGGTCTAACATTCATCGATTCATGATCTCAATCAAAAATTAAAATTGTATTCATGACATTAAATCACCAAGTTAACATTCATCATGTTCATGTAATCACGTATCGTTAACTTCCTGATTCTAATGTGATGTCATATCCTATATACGCAGACTGTGAATTATTTGATATTGATTCAAAGACTGAATGGTGTCATACTTGTCAAGCAACTAAGATTTCTTGAGGTTAATACAGTATATAACTCCGCCTGGAGCCACTCTTGGGTTACAGCTGGTTCCAAGCCCGAATAACGGAGGAGAGTTGGGCATGGGGATAGCGACCACATCCCATGAAAAACTTACTCGATAAAATAACGATAATCAGGAAAAGTAATTCAAACCATTTAAACTCTGCTTTGGGATCTAGAAGATCTTCAATTAGAGGAGTTATGACGCCTCATGATGAAGGCTAAATTCCTTCGGAAGTCACGAGGCTGATGCCCCTTCTAACAACCAGAGAAACGATTTATTTAGGTACATGGAATGCTCGTACAATATGGGAGACCGGGAGGGTCTTCGAAATTGCTGCAGAAATAATACTGTGTATAGTTATAGGTTGACACTCTTGGAAATCTTAAACTAGAACATAAATACATATTCACTGTTTGTTAGATTTCACTAGTTCTTCAAATAATGTTACTTCATAATGAGAAATCTCTTTACTTGCTATATATATTACTGACATTTGATTGAAGTAATTATATTATAGTAATATATTGTGAAAAATAGAAAATAATCGAATTGTTGTTATTATCCGTATAAGGTTGTGGAGATTATTACGTTTTTGATTGAAATCATGAACTGATTGATGTTAGACCACTAATGAAAACCTGGAAGAATTGGACGGCCATTTCGTCCTATTGTGGGACTCTTCAGAAGTGTGCATCCACAATCCCGCTCACGGTATTAGAACCCAAGGCCTTCAGTCTGACCGTCCTCAGTACAATGGAAGATGTTCGCACAATTTCGTGGATTGTTTGAAGTTAGACATTAACACCGTTCGCTGCCGACTCAGTGGTACAGAGATTAGGCGTATCTCTGTACAAATGTGGTATGGCAACTTGAACTTATGTACACACGTACGAAGTTCTACGTTGTTGACTGACTTACTGATTGAAACACATTCATTTTGGGGCTGTGAACATTGTTGAATTTCATTAGAATCATGAACCGACCTAGATTAGACCGCCATAGTAAACCTGATAGCACTGAAGTAGATAAAAATTTGCGCTTTATTGTAAACTGGTCTGGACCCAATAATAGTTGCTTTCTCATGCTGTGATTTTATATTCACATGCAGAAGGATATTTTTCACAGAGAGCTAAGAGATAAACATTTACCAATTGCACACATGGAGTATCAAATGCTGCTGTTAAAGGAAGTCGACCTACATCAGGTTGGTAAAAACCCTCTACACTTCTCAATCATTACTAATCAGTGATTTCCATTCAATCTTGTGGTAATAACAACTTCACTTCTGTAAAATTAACGTGTAATATTGTCGTCAATACAAGTCAACATGTATATATTACTTACATTCGATGAAAATGTACACACAAGGAAATCTGTCATTGAAAGTGCAATGATGTCAATAATTGCATTATTCATTGAATTGACTGACATCCGTATATTCAAATTATAACCAACTGTACCAGTGTTTGTTTTAACGTGCTTTTGTTTGACTGTGCTAATGACAGCTATTTTGTGCTTCCTTTCTTATACTTAAACTTCAATTGTAACTTCGCGCGAATTCGGTTACCTTCTGTAACCAAGGTTGTATCCTGGCACGATCTCGGTATCCTCTCGATACCACGAGATCGCCAGAAAATATACACCTCGATTTGGTCCATTAACTGTCTTCTGATATTTGGCTTCTCGGGGATTTTATGGATCTATTTGGTTACGTCCAACCCTCGCCTTCTGATGTATTTGGTACATGTTTCTTGGTAGCGGTGTTCACAGTTAATCTCAACTCGACGCCACGCTACACATGTAACGTTTCGCTTCCTTGATATTTTTTGGCAAAAATATTCAAGCAAACGCTGATTGAACGAAACGCATCTTAGTGATTCATGATGCTTGCTTGTTTTTTTGCAAACAATTTTCTGGATCACTTCAACAAAACAGATCCAAATCTCTCTACATTCATGTCCGAACAGTTTCAAAAATGACAAATTAGATTCATTCTGTATAATAGTAATAATCATGATAAAATAGTCGGTCTGAATACGAAGTGATACAACTAGATATAAAGTAGTCGGTCTGAATGAGATGAGATAAATTATAAAATTCAGTATCTAGTATCATTACTGTAAACTTCAGGCAGAAGTGGGTTATTGGAGTTTCTTCACTTGTGACAGACAACTTGTCCTGTCGATCTTGACGTTGAATAGTTATTGTTATCCTTCTTATTTTGACCTGATTCTTGATTTAGCCTGTTTACAATCTTCCTAATTGTTTGATGAATTGAATCGGTGTCTGTTTGTTTACTTATTCTCAACTCAGCTGAGTTCCAGAATTATCTCGTTTCATTTGCATTCTTTTTATTCAAAATAACAACACTTTTTTTTAGTTTGACATATCTACACACTTGTCCACATGCCTTGAGATAAGCAAACGCACATGACGACGTTTGATAGCTAATAAGTGTTCATGGAGGTGAAGATGATAAAGAAATCCGATTTGTTAACTGAGGTCTTATTTGTAAGAACAGTTCAACTACTAGAATAAGTTTGAAATTTCTTCTTTAGTCATTTCATGCTTTGATCAGTTCTAGAGATTAAGTCTCCATGTATTTGGTTTATAAGGTCATCCATAAAAGTCCATTGCACATGTACCTGTTCCTTTTCATATTACGAAAAGTATGGCCATGCATATCAGTAAGCTCATTTTTGATGCACATAAATTGTACTCAATTACCTTGGCCTTCTACATGTAATTTTCATCCTTCCAGTTGTACTCAATTTCAATTTTATCATTCACTTCTTATCTAATCTGTTTAAGTCATTGAGCCATCTAATTATACGTGCATCCATTTTACGAATTATATATTGTTATCATTAGGGAAAACACTGAGATCCATAGTTAAGCTGATCAACTATCATTTACCTACTACTATACTACATACTAATGAAGAACTAGAACTCAAAAAACTCACTTGAACAGAATACATCTTAATTCAATTTACATTTGATCAAGTACAACACATCATAATGGATAACACTTTCATTGTGATTAATCATGAATTGAAATATGATTAATTAATTAACGAAGTTTCATTTATTGTTTCAATACAACTGAGATCATCTTATTGACTTACATGTCTCTTTGACATTGTCAAGAGATGAACACTTTGTAAATCAAAGAAATTATCCACGTGTTCCATGTACTCGGATAAGTTATGAAACTGAGCTTCCCAAATTAACTACAAAAAAAGAGTACAAGTGCAAGATGTGATCATTAGAACATTCAATTCCGAAAATATTCAACTATAGTTGTCAATGACAAGATGCTCCAAACTCAACCCTCTTTATATTTTCATAAACTTTATTCTTCATGAAGTATTTACACCAAAACGTTTAAACTTGATATTCCTACTCAATTTCTATAGTAAAGTCAGCTGGCGAACTGACGCCTGATACACTATTCTCTCATATGAACTTCAAAACTATTTGACAAAGATCATTGAAAACAATGGAGATTCAACCAACACAAGAAACTTCGAACTGAGTATGCAGAAAGACAAACCACACTAGTCGAATACTCACTTATAGCAGCGACAACGTATTGACGCAAAAATATGATATTTACAAAAACTACTCAAAACAGTAAAGACATTAAAGCATCACAGGGAAAAGAAACTGTATGCATTTTGGAAAGATGGTTTGATACAAAATATCAACAAGGTATGTCTGTTAAAGGTTACGTCAAATAAGAAAAAGAGAATTCAGCGAAGAAAATTTTCTTTTCGACGAAATCATTTACTTGAGCTGTACATTCGTATATATAGTTATGGGTTATTTTAATAACGTCAAATACAAAATCAGTACTAAACATCAGCAAAGGTGGGAATTCTACTCTATCCGAAGAACATCAGCAAGATCACGAACAGCTTTGTAAGACTATAAGAAGTAAGTACAGCCTATAAGCCGGTACAATATTTATTGTAAAAGCCCACAGCTATAATGACAAATAAAAGCAAGGGAAACATAAAACACAAGAGAAACTGCGACAAATACGACACCGTGGAAAGCGGTCACACTTTCAGTCCATTCATGTATAGGTGTTGGTTAGCCGTTATTCGCCTTGACGTAGATGTGCTTATATAAATGTTTGTGGATAATTTTTAGCGTAAATCAAATTCGGGAAATGTCCGAACTTCGACAGAAGAAGCACAAAAATCTCAGAGAAATTTACAAAGCCTGAAACTTTGTTCAATCAGCAGGTGTATCGAAATCAACCGAATCTACCAACCAGTATTCTGTTGAGCAGGATGATAATGATTTCTGAATGACCAGCCCAGTTATCAAAAGTAGTTTAATCCAAAGACAAAACTGGAAACGTGTCTTTCATTCTCAACATTCACTGTTTAGATTCTGAACAACTAAGTGCATCATACTATATTCTGACAACGTATATGAACAAACACTAACCTTATCGGTACGCCTGATATGCACGCCAACAACAGGATCACCACTCGTTTTAAAGCTCTTCAAGGTTACATTGATTAATTGTGCAAATTGTGGTTTTGGACGCAAAATGTAGGCTGCTAGTTGACCAGCAAACCAAACAAAGGGTGCCTCGTGTAAACGTAATAATTCTTTATTCATATCTATCGGGAGAACATGTGGCAACCAGTTATGTACTTGGGGAGCCTTTACAATCCAAGGACAATTGATGTTATCTGAAGTAAACAAAAGAATGAAAATAATTTTTTATGCTTGATAAATTGTATGGTAATTTGTAGATCAACTGCCTACCAACTAACCATATTAGCTGATTTGTGAGACGGAACCTTACTCAGTTGTAAAAGGCGATTGAATATGATTTTATCCATATTAGGAGGAGCAATGGAACATGAAATATTACCAATAATAAGGTTTGTTTACCCGCTCTTTCACGTAGATAGTAAACAGCTTTATGTTATTTCATGGGTTCTAGTCAATGATTTATTGTATCGTGTTGTTTTGTCGAAAAGTAAATAAAAATATTCAAGTAAACAGTTCAAGATAATCACTGAGGTCTGACATTTACAACAAACTAATGATAAATACATCGTTTACACACCTGATCTACCATCTGAGTCCAAATAACTGCATTTGTCAGAAAGTGGTAACATGTTCTGATGAAGCCATTCTCGAAATGGGTCTCCAGGATAATGTTTCTTCAATACTAGAACACGCTCATTTTCAAGAGCCAATTGTAAGCAGTACATGAGTTGATGCATGCAACAACCCAATCCACACAAATTAGTGAAGTCAAATGTTACATATTTGGCCTTTTTACAATCTGACGGATTCTATATGTATATGATCAAAAAGGTAAAATCCAAATTTTTGATTTATTAATAAGAATCAAACACATTGTAAAATTGATTCACAACAATTTCATAGATACAAACATGAGAATGATTTGAAGGCTGATAACGTTCGTCATTAATTTTACATTTGATACATTTCGGGTTATATTTAACGAATACATTCTGATCTTGGGGTCGTTGTCTGACTTGATCAAATCTGAATATCATTTGAAACCTATTTCAAAGTGACTTAATCGACTAACAACATAACTATAGTGAACTATTTAATCCAGGTTTGGATAATCTCGACTAAATAAGAATCGATATTATTGATATGCAGATATATATGGTGGTGATGATTGAATTATTTACTTTATATCGTACCATACTGATACTTGTGTCTCAGTTTTCAATTGACAGATTGTCGTATAGGTGACAGTGTAGTGACCGAGAATACAAATGGGGCCAACCAAATGAATTCGAATTTATGTTTCACTTTTCAATCGATAAATGGTCACATAGATTACAGTGCACAATGATTGTTTGTTGGTTTAGACAGAATCATAGATAGTCAGTGTAGGAAGCAATTTCCTACAAGTGTAACTCTAAGCTATTCTCTAGAATGTCAAGCATAAATTCTTGATTTAGCCAAAGTCAGAACAAGGAAGCTATTTGGCTTGATAAACTTCATCTGTTTTTTAAAACATAAATTAACACTGTTAGTATACAAAATAAACAACACAGAGTAACAACACAGGGAAAAACAGAGACATAAATAACATACCGAACAGTAGCTAGAGGATAGAAAAAAATGAGTCAACAAGGCAAATATTAGTTTAGGTGTTGTGGAGATTATTAAGTTTTTGATTGAAATCATGAGTCACTTGAAGCTGGATTTCGTGGATTGGTTAAAGTTAGACATTAACACCATTGGATGCCGGTCGACTCAGTGGTCTAGTTTGTTAAGCGACTGGAGCGAGACTGATAGGTCCTGGGTTCGAGTCTCGTGGGGTGCGGGATGGTGGATACGCACTGCTGAGGAGTCCCATACTAGGACGAAATGGCTGTCAAGTGCTTCCAGGTTTTCCATGGTGGTCTAGTTTCAATTGACTCATGATTCCAATCAGTGAGATAGATATTATATTTTTCATATATATTTTCCTACCCTTTGTATTTACGGATAGTCCAATAAAATATGTGTTATTCAGGTGAATCACGTGATCTCGATTTCAGTTGCGTTGACTTTTGGTGAATGAGCTTTTAGACTGGAACCTAGTAAAGAACAAGTCAATTGTATATTCACTGTTCATTCTATGCAAAACGTTTCCCATAAGTAATTCAGGACAAATGGAACGTCCTTTCAAAGGTCTTATTTAATGCCGTACTTTTGTAGAAATTAATTCGATCAATCAACCACTTCTTTTTACAAGTTTAAGAACTTGACCTATTCCAAAGTGATACAAAAGTAATAAATTCTAACCTGTTGTTTTTGAATCTTCTCCTGTAATCGCTGTGAAAGCTTATTTAAGCCATTCTTTCTGATTTGTGAAAATTCATCTAATTCACCTAGTTTGTTAAGAATAAGTTGCAAGTGTGAAATAGTTTCCTCCATATTCTGTCGATAACGAACTAACGATGCTTGTATCGATGAAACTGTATCGGTGTCCAATTCCTTTTGATTAACTTTTTTTAATTGGGTAAAAATTTTGCGTAAATTGTTCAAAGTGTATCGTGCTTCATGAACGTAATTCAAAACACGACGTCTAAGTGTTTCATGAGAAATACCTATTCGATCTACATCTAGAATAAAAACATTAAAGTTAAATATTTCACCTTATTATCATTATTATTACACAATACAAACTGAACATTTCGGTGAGACTATAATTTATGGACGAACCAATCTACGGCGGCCTGCTTGAATATCTGGGCTACCTGTTCCACCGATCTAGATATTTCATCAAGTTATCTGTTTTGTTGTTGTTTTAGCACATCACTATGTCTATTGTGCGCACAACCTATTCAGGCGCGTTTATGAAAAGTTTACAACCTTTCGCTATACGGGATACAAGAAGGTACAATCAGAGACATCATGGTTGCTGGCAATATGCATTGAAACAAATGAACAGTAATCAAATGTGGATTACCAAACTTCTAACATCTAACTGGTCATCATTCAAAATTTATCGTCACAATCGATCAAGGTATAAGACAAGGAAACTTGTTGAAATATTTTATGCTGAGAATTCTATGTTGTACCAAAAATATAATGTTGAATAAAGCTTCTAATAATTAAAAAAAAAAAAAATATGAGACAATAGGTCTCGGATAACCTTCATTTGGTACCAGTTATTAGGGGGACTCCGCCTGGAGTCCCTCCGCGGGCTACTGCCGGTCCCAAGCCCGGATAAAGGAGGAGGGTTGGGCATGAGGTTAGGGACCACATCCCGTAAAAAACTAACCCACTGAAAAACACTAACCAGAAAACATAATTCAAATCATTCAAACTCTGCCCTGAAAGTTAGGTCTTCATTTAGAAGAGTTATGACGCCTCGTGGTGAAAGCCGAGATTCTTTTGCCCCGTCTGACAACCAGACCAACTATTAATTTAGGTACATGGAATTCTGGGAGTCATCCAAGTTGCTACTGAAATGAAAAGATACAACCTGGATGTGTTTGGAACTAGTGAAACATGCTGTATGTAGGTTGGACAACAGAGACTAGCTTCAAGGAACCTGCTGTTATACACCATCCATGAAAAACTGAATGTTCCACCTAGACAAGGCGTTGCACTGATGCTATCCAGGCCTTTCGCGATCTACTCAATGGAGAGAACTAACATGAAGAACAATTGGAAGGGGATCAAGGAGGCAACCACTTCAACATGCCATGAGGTTCCGCGTCACAAGAAGCACCATCACAAGGAATGGATCACTGTTAATACACTGGATAAGGTTCAAGAAAGGAGGAGCAGAAGGAAAGCAGCAATTAATAACAGCCATACAAGAGTATAGAAATCCAAGACACAAGCTGAATATACAAAAGTAAACACGGAAGTGAATAGGAGCATCATGTGTGGAAGATCAAACAATAATGTCGCAAAAGCCACAAGAGAAAGAAACACGGGACAATTGCATGATGCAACAAAGAAGCTCGCTGGAAATTATCGTAAGCCAGAACAACCAGTGAAAAGCAAGGAAGGCAAGGTAATCACCAACATTGAAGAACAACGAGA